GAATGGATTCAAAAACCTTCCCTCTTCATGGCCATTTTGACTTTGGGAAGAGCTAGAAGCCACCCAGCGCCAAATCTGATGAAGAGTATCATGTTTGTACAGCCCCGCCTTTCCACTGGGTGGCGCTCTGCAGCAGGGTTCACCATATTTTTCACCACATCCTGTAAAGAAACTCAAGCAAGAGGACTTCCAGAGCTGCTCCAGAAAGTGCCAAGAAGGATGGGAAGAGTGTGTTTGAAGCGAGGGGGAGGACTCTGAAGGTGATTCATTTCTTCGAATTTAAACATTCACCATCTATTTTGATCACACCTCTTGGAGAAGGGACCCAACTCTAAACATGAAATTCACTTATGTTTCACGCGCTTCTCGTGTGCACAGTGCAAAGGTCACTTCTGCAGCACTGTAACACCTGCATTGTGCCCGTATCAGGTCCTAAGGTAAGATGTGAATGTTCTGCTTGTGGCCTCAGTTCAGCACTCCCCATTCTGGATTTGGGAGCATTCATACTTTGGATTTTCAGATTAGGGATCCTTACTCTGAGCAGACCTCAGCGCCAGCGAACATTCCTGGGATCTATCCGGCAAACTGGCTTCCAAACAGCCCCAGAGCCTGGAGGACCCAACGCTCCTCCTGGAGGACAGGCCTGAGTGTGGGAACAAGCACTTTCCAATTCTGAGCTCCCATCATGCTTTTATATGAAAAATATTAAGAACTGGAGTTACAGGGCTGGGGGTTTAGCTCAGTGGCACAGTGCCTGCCTGGCAAGCGCAAGGCCATGAGTTCTATTCCTGGTACCAGAAAAAAACAAAAACAAACCAAAAAAAAAAAAAAAAGAGCTGGAATTACATGTAATGATATGATCCACCCTTATAGGATCACCTAGAGCCCTGAAAATCCTTTTACATGCTTGCAAAGGCCAGGCCTGCTCACCGTAGAAAAAGTATAAAGCATAAAAAGTAACAAAGAAGAGAAGCAAAATAAGACTCACGTTGCAGGCATGACTGGGGTGAAGCGAGGGGCATAGTCCCCTGAGCCTCCGTGCCTGAGTCTGTAGCAGGAAGGTGACAGTGAAGGGTTGGCACGCAGTGAGCTTTCGGCCACCATGGTCTTTTCATTCCTATCAGGAATATTCCTTGTGGCTTGGAATCATCTCAGACCACATGATCTTACACTTCCCTCATCCGGGTGTCCACGCTTCTGCAGGGGCTCCTGCCTGTAAGCCCACAGGCTGCCTGGACATTCAGGAAGTGACCTTTCTTGCTTGCTGTGCTACGGATAGAACCCAGGGCCTCTTGCTCGGGCCGCCGAGCTGCACCGCAGCCCCAGAAAGCAGTCTTTGCAATGAGCGGGCCTCGCCTGTTCAGGCCGCCTCGTGCAGCTGTCTTGCCAGCCGCCTGCCCTGCTCCTGTGCCCATCAAACCAGTCTCTGGTGTCCACAGCATGAGCTGAGCGGGGCGCACCAACCCTTCTGGTGGCGCCGAGTCCCTGGCAGAATAAAACCCAGCCTTGGTGCCCGGACCAAGTACCTATTACGCTCCCAGCCTCCTCTCTGTGTGGGGTCTCTCCTCATGCTCTTGCCGTTTCTTGAAGTTTCTCCCCTTTGGCCTGGCCACTCTCCATCCTGCTTCAAGTTTTAGTTTAAGACCGAACTAAATGTTTAACTAATGTTGTAAACCTAAGCATTTCTGAGGAGACTGTATTACGATAGAACCTGAAAAGCAAGTAGCAGGTGGGCAACTTCTCATAAGGAAATGAAAAGACAAAGACCAAGAGGCTTAGGTAACCAGGCCACCTCAGGCCTTTAAAAAACCAGGTCTTGCCCCTGACTTTTGTAGCAGAGCTGACGTTCTCACGATGATTAGGAAACTGTCTAGGATGTGTGTTGGGCTTAGCTGCCCATGCATAGCTTGATGAAGCACAGACCTCACCTTGGCCAGTCTGCCCCCGAAGAATGGGTAAGACAGGATGAGCTATAGCTCAGTGGTGAGCCCTTGCTTAGCATTGTGAAGTTCTGGGTTCTATCCCCAGCACCCCAAGATAAGAAAAAAGCAGTCAGGTTCATCTCAGCCCACTGCTCAGAGCTGCCCCACGTTCCCTTGGCCCACCTCGTAACGCCCCCACCAACCTCGAGTGGCAGGTGCTGAGGACAGCAGCCTTGGTGCTCTCCTGTGGCAGCTGTCACAAGGCCTTCTCTTTTCAGGACAGCTTGAGTCTGTGCTCCGGGGCCTAGGTCGCTCAAGTGTGGCTCACAATAAGCTGTTTTCTTATTTCCTTCACATAGGGTTGTTTTGCGTAGACACTGTCCTTCCCGGAAGTAGATCCTGCACGCCATGGGCTGAATTAGGGCCCCTCTCCCTACACCGTTTCCCCTACTGTGAACACCTGGCCTTCATTCCTGGTGTGATTTTGTTACAGTAACGAACCCGCACAGATCCGCAATTATTAGTCAAAGTCTACAGTTTACATCAAGATCCCCGGGACACACAGAATCCTAGGTGTCTACCATAGCAGTATCTTACAGAATAGGTTCACTGCCCAAAGACTCCTGTGTGCCGTCTCTTCGTCCTTCCTGTCCACCCCATCACTGATGTTTGTCACCCAGTGAGACCCGGTGCCCCATCCCAGCAGGGACCATCTGCATGGCGGCCATCACACTTACTGTTCCCAGCCCAGCACCTGCCACGTAACAGGTGCCTTGCACATCTTTCTCTTTGCATATTTTAATAAAAATAAGATTCTACTAAACATACCAGACTGCAATTTGCTTTTTCCAAATATTGACACTATATCTTGGAAATCTTCCCATATCATAACATAGAGCATACTCTCCCTCTCTCTCTCTCTCTCTCTCTCTCTCTCTCTCTCTCTCTCTCTGTCTCTCTCTCCCTCCCTCCTTAGTTTTATATCATGGGGAATTTCCAACACACACCCAAAAGAAGAGAGAATCGACCGTGACACTCCTGTCCCCCCACTGTCAGCCAGTGGATTTGGGGGTCAGGAGAGTCCTCACTTCATCACTGTCTCTACCCATATCCCTCTTTTCTGTGCTCTTTGGAAACATCTGTCACCTGATCATTTTATCTTAAATATTTCTCTGTGTATCACTAAAAGACAAAGACTTCAAGAAACGCAATCACAGCCTAGCATCACGCCTAACAAACATTAACTTCATCTCACCGAATACAATCATGGTTCAGATTTCCAAGTGTCTCTTGCACATGCATTCCTTTTGATGGACGGCATAAGGTTGTTCGGCCCGACATGCAGCTGGGTGCATGTTCTGCTGTGGGTGGACCCGCCTTGGAGGGGCTCTTGGTCTGGGTACCCTGCCGCTGTTAGGTTTGTAGCCACTGCATTTCATCTGTGAAAAACTCGGGTGCTGGCTTCTGCAGTCACCCCGTCTGGGACTGTACCGGCTCCATCCCCCTGGCGGCGTTTAGTGTGTTGTTCTGTCCGAATTCCCTGACAGGATTTGACGGGATTCCAGTTGAGTTTGTCTAGACAGTGGGCTCACACGGGGAGGAGGGTGCTGTCCTGCAGAAGCGCACTCTCAGGCCATTCCTCTGGATGATGTTCAGTCTGCTGCTGCTCAGTCCTCAGCCCTTCATCCGGGAGGGGCTGCGAATTCTACCATGAAATGCTGCTATAAAAGGAAACATCCCCTTGTCAATTTTTGGTTACCCTGAGGTACAGCTTATGTAAGACAGGCAGGATCAATGCCTGATTCTTTCCCTCTATTTACTGGTTTTCAGAATAATGAGCTGCCTGTGAATATTTGAATGGATAAATGAATAATGCATGTGTGGATGAACTGGCTGGGTTTGGGAGTCAGGGGATCCCTCTGTCACCCTGGAGGGTGTAGAGTGGACTCTGGGCTGACAGACACAGGGTGGCCAGGTCCTTGTCTGTACAAGGAGGACTGCGAGCGGCTCTTGCTACCTGTCAGCCCACCTCAGTCAAGAGCAGAGGTGAAGCTGGGCATGGTGTCGCATGCAGTAATCCCAGCACTCGGGAGGCTGAGGCAAGAGCTTGGCAAGTTTCAGCCTAGCCTGGGAAACTTAGAAACTTAGTGAGACCCTGTCTCAAAATACAAAATAAAAAGGGCTGGGGATGTAATTTAGCGCAGAGGCACTGGGTTTGATCCCCAGTACTAAAAACAAACTGAGGTGATTCAAAGCCACTCTGCTAGAAATATAGCATCCTGTTAGGTGTGGCAGTGCCTGCCTGTGATCCTAACATTCAGGAGGCTGAGGCAGAAAGATTGCTGTGAGTTTGAGGCCAGCCTGGACTACATACTGAGACTCTCCGTGTCTCAAAAAAAAAAAAAAGTACAGAAATATGGACAAAGGGTTCCCATCATCTCACCCGACAGGCAGGAAATCTACTTTATGGTTAAATGTGAAGTGTTCCCCAAAGACTCGTGCATGTCCCCACTGCAGCAGAGGTGGCATTTTTGGAAAGTGATTGGATCACACGGGCTCTAACTTCATCAGTGGGTTAACCCACTAATGGGATCATAGAATTCAATGGCATTATTGGGAGATGTTGGAAACAGGAAGAGGGTCATGGAGTGACCTCATTGAAGGAGTGGGTCATGGAGATGTAACCCTGGGGACTACGTCGGGTCCTAGGCCCCACCCTTTCTCAGGCTCTTTCTGTCTTTCTCCGCTTGCTGGCTGCCGTGAGGTGAGTTTTCCTCCACTAGGCCCCTCCCCCACGATGTTCCTGTCTTGGAGCCAGCCGACCATGGACTGAACCATCTGCGACTGTGAACCAAATAAACTTCTACATTGATTTTACCAGGTTTTTTGCCACACCGATGGAAAGCAGAAACCGCCATGCAAGCAGAGGAGGGCCCAGCTGCGTGACCCAGGCAGCCTGCAGTCTGGGGCAGGCCTCAGAACGCCGTGGACCCCAACACAGGAGGGGGCCCCCGGAGCTGCACACAGGGCCTACTCCCACGAGCACGCTGACCTCCCTGTCCTCTGCAATCTCCCTAGATGCAAGTGCAACCTGCACGCCAGCCTGTGCTCCGTGCGAGAGGGCAGTCTGCAGTGCGAGTGTGAGCACAACACCACCGGCCCCGACTGCGGCAAGTGCAAGAGGAACTTCCGCACACGCGCCTGGCGCGCTGGCTCCTACCTGCCGCTTCCCCACGGCTCCCCCAATGCCTGTACGTATGTGTCCCCCATGCCAGCTGGAGGGCTGCGGCCACCTTGCCCTTTATCCCAAAGCTGTGGGACACACACATACCCATGTGCACAAGCACACACACACACACACACACGCAGGTGGACATGCACACAAACATGCGCATGCACACACCCTAGCAGGCATGCACACACCAACAGACAGACAGATGCACATATGCACAAACACACACACATCTTGTCAGGAGCACTCTAGTGTAGCCTCTACTGCTGACCTCTCTGCTGCCCTTCTGGCCCTGGCCACACAGGGAAACCCCAGACGGGTTTCTCAGCCTCTTCCCTGCTCTCGTCCCCTTGACCCTGCATGCAGGGCAGGCCCCCACAGGATGCAGGGAAGAGGGTGTCAGAGCCCCCACGCTAGCCTGAGCAGAATCCGCAGCTCCATCCCTGATCCCAGGCATCTGTGGGGCGTTAGCTACACATCGCAGTGTCACGTGCTGCACGTGCGCTGCCCCGCTCCCTCACCAGGCCCTGGCGGTGGGCTCCTGTCTCCCTGACAGCAGAGACGTCATTGAGCCCTCTCCTGAGCTCCTGGCTGGGCTGAAAGCCCATCCTTTCCTCATGCAGCTGTGCCAGCGAAGCCATGGTGCACAGTCTTTGGGGTCCCCCTCTCACCTGCACCCTGAAATCATGAGCCCCTGGGATCCCAGGGGAAGAAGATGGCCAGGGCCCAGGCTGGCCCTGAGTGAGTTTCCTGGCCCGGGGCCCTGATCACCAACACCTTTCAGGTACCACCCACCCTGCAGATGGATAAACTGAGGCCCAGCCAACCTCAGGTCCTTCCTGGTTCCATACTGAGCTGCAGCTGGCACTGGGGCTCCAGGCCACTTCCTAGACCCTATGCCAGAGCTGGTGTTTGGCCATGGATGCCCCACCCGCCTGGGCACCCTCCCTCCACCTGTGAAAGATTTATGTGGCTTCAGGCTGATCAAAGCAGAGCGCTGCGGCGTGGCCGTGACAGGCCTGTTGTGCGTGGGCCAGGGCCGGCGTCGTGACAGGCCTTTGAAGGGTGACTTGACAGGCACCTCGCAGCACTTGGGGGCCTTCAAAGGCACCCAGACAGCTTGGGGTGCCAACGGCCGCCTCCTGCCTGGCTCCCCACCACAAGCCCCTGTCCTGGTCTCCTTGTGTCCCAAACCTTGTCTGCAGTTGCTGTCAGTCCCTGTCTGGCTGGCACTCTCGCCCCCTCTGTGTGCCCCGCCGCTGCCTGCCCAGCCCCTCTGGCTCTTCTCTTCCCCTGCAGCCTGTGGGGTGTCCTGTCCCCTGCCCCGCAGGCTCTGTCACTGTCCCCTGACCTCTTCCCTAACCACTCGCCCCACATTCACCCGAATTCTTCCCTTGCCGGTACCGCCCGCCCCTGCACCCCGCTCAGTCTCCTCGGCAAACACGGGGCTCCCTCCTCAGCCCCCAGGTACAAGGCCCCGTGGGGTCTCCTCCCCTCTCCCACCACTTCCTGCCTTGGGCTCCAAACTCCCGGAATCCGCTCTCCTGCCACTCCAGCCTCTGTGACTGGGCCCTGCCACGGGTGTCCCTGTGACTTGGATTCTCTGCCCCTCTGGCACCCGCAGCCTCTGGGGCCCAGCTTAGACGTCGCCCCACCTCTCTGTACCCACCCCGCCCCCGCTTTCTCCACTCAGGGATCCTGCGTCCTCCCCGGCCAGCACCCCTCCCCAGCCCTCGTGTCCCCCGTGCGGCAGGACACCCGCCCCAGCCTGTTGGGAAGGGAAGGCTGAGTGCTGAGTGCTGAGTGCTGGCCCCCGGCCGCCCTGGCCCGTCCTGCCGGCCACAGCGCGGTCACTCGTCCCCCTGCTGTCCCGCAGTGACCCACGTGGCGGGGCAGCCGGGGCAGCCGGTCCTTCCTCCTCCGCTGTGGGGAATCTCGCCTGGGACCGCAAGGCCTCTGGTCGCAGCAGGAGCGGCCGCAGGCTGGGGCTGGCCTCTGCACCCCCGGGCGCCGGCCTGTCGCCCAGCCCAGCCGTCTCTGCGCGAGGAGGAGGTGGCGCCTGCAGCCCCCGGGAAGTTTTCCCTATCAGTCCATGCTAACGATTCCCCGAGGGGGTCACAGTTCCCCAGCTGCCGCACCCGGGGTCTGAACCGAGCCGGAGCGGGGTGTTCGGCGCTTATCGCGGTGCCCTGTGGGGAAGCCACATTCGCGGGTGTGAGTCTCCGTGCACACCGCGGGCCCAGGGCGGCCCGTCCCCGGGCGGCAGCGCCAGGAGCCGGGCAGCCCCCACCG